GTCTCTTTTTTTTTCCCCCCTTTTCTTCTTTTCTGCACAACTTCTGCAGGCCTCATTGAAAGCAGCATATATGCATCCACAGGCAGAATTTGTCCATGTGAATATGAAGAAAGCCAAATAATGTTTTTAGTCACACCAGTGGGACTCTGTTGACTTCATTTTTACCTTCAGGAGGTAGCCTTTTGTGTGTGCTAGATGAAAAGACACAGCTCAGACAGTTCTTAAAAATACTCTGCTCTGTTCAGGGCAAAGTGCCACAAAAGCCAAATTCCCCCAAATCCCCTAAATTGTCCATCTGGAACAGGTGTTTACAGTCATATAAACAAAATAAAATTGCTTTTTGCAGACCTAGAGTCAGCCTGCTACTAAAATATCTGGCATCTATTTGAAAAGCAAGCAAACAAAGACCAGACACCCCACCAGAAAAACTGGGGAGGAGCAGAGGGGTGAGGGAAGGGAGTAGTGCTGAGAGATGAACTAAAAAGCCCTTCAAAGATGCAAAAACAGGGAAGAAAATTGATCAGGCTAATGAGAAAATTCCTGTTAATAACATCATTTATTATTTTCCCACGAGTTTTCACCTCATGGCAAGATTTACAATTGACAAACAATGTGAAATCATCCCACAAAAAACCTTATCTTTTTAAGCCACAGAAGTGGGATATCCCTACTTTGGTCAAAGTTGGTTAGAATTAAGAGTGACATCAGAAGAAATTGTCCTCTTCCACCTGACCTAACATCTTACCATTATTTACTCATTTTTCCTGCAGTAGGTCAAGCTTGACACTCTCCTCTTTTTTTTCTTTCTTTTTTTTTTTTTCCGCTGAGGTCTTTAAGCTAAATTAAAGACTGTTCTCTTTACTATTCTTGCCAGTTGTTAAAAGAAAACATGCTACTTGATGGCATAAAACACAAAACTCTAGCAAGACAAGAAATAATATTATGTTATATGTACAGAGGGTTATAACACCCTGTAACAAAGGAATAAGATATTTGGATGCCCAGAGGTCTGAATTTTTATAATTCATCCATAGTTACAGAGCTCTTTACAAAGCTGGTTACAGATGCAATCAGGGATTAAGTCTACGTTTTCAAGGGATTCCTGAAGGGGAAACTGGAAGTGGGTAAGGAGAAGGAAAGGGCTGAAGACAAATGATGTTAAAGGATGAAGACAAAGAGAAGACAGTTTCCTGAAGAAGTGTGAACACAGTCACAAACTAGAGATAATGAAAGACTAGAGCTGGTAGACTCAGGATTCAGAATGCCTTAATGCCTTATTTATGTTTTTGGGAATACAGTTCTCATTTCTGTTTTAAGAGTTTACATGTGCAGACATAAAAGGATTTAAATAGGGTTGTTTGGCTGTTTGTTTTTTCTGGGGTTTGTTTTGTTTTGTTTTAAGCTTCAAAGAAGGATTCATGGAACTGTTGGAACAAGTCCAGAGGAGGTCCACGAGAATGATCAGGGGAATGGAGCACCTCCCATATGAAGATTGGCTGAGAGAGTTGGGCTGTTCAGCCTGGAGAAGAGAAGGCTGCGTGGAGACTTCATAGCAGCCTTCCAGTATCTGAAGGGGGCATATAGGGATGCTGGGGATGGACTCTTCATTAGGGACTGTAGTGATAGGACAAGGGGTAATGGGTTAAAATTTAAACAGGGGAAGTTTAGATTGGATATAAGGAAGAAATTCTTTCCTGTTAGGGTGGTGAGGCACTGGAATAGGTTGCCCAGGGAGGTTGTGAATGCTCCATCCCTGGCAGTGTTCAAGGCCAGGTTGGACAAGGCCTTGGGTGATATGGTTTAGAGTGAGGTGTCCCTGCCCATGGCATGGGGGTTGGAACTTGATGATCTTCAGGTCCTTTCCAACCCTAACTATTCTATGATTCTATGATTCACCAAGTTGAAAAGGTTGAGGACCAGTAGTCTAGGAACATGTCTACAGGCTCACCTCAGCTAGCTTTACACTAGTTAATCCTGGTTGGGATAATGCAGTTGGGATAACAGTTGACTGTGGGCAGGATCATGCTGAAGTGTTTACCCAGTTGTCACTCAGGCTTTGCAGCTTGAGTTGAGCTTGGTGCTGCCTGACTGCCTTGGTAATAGTACATAGCTTAACTAGTTTAGAGTTATTATGGTTTGATATCTCTTTATAAGTTTGTAATGTAAATGTAGCTACAGTAACCAAACTCTTCAAATGCTTTTAACCACTAGGCTGCATTGCTGCCTCTCTCCCTTTTAGTTCTCATATTTTTTCTGTAATGTTGCACTTTGAAAGTAACTGTTTTGGCAAACTTTAAGGCAATGTCCAGCTGAATTGAAAATATTTCTCCCACCAGTTTGTACCAGGGGTATGAATTTATACATATGCAGTTTATACAAGGGGTTTCTCTTCCTTTTTATACCACCTTGACAACTATATAGATGAGATCAATTTTTGCACTATGGTCTACTACTCCCATAACATGTTAAAGTGTTGTGCAGATTTTTGATGATTTTCTCTTTTATCTGCATTAAATTATACATTAAAATTACTTCTGCGTGGTCCCTTAGCAATATTTCCAATGTATTTCTCTCAACTGAAATGAGACTTAGCAGGGTTGTCCCCTGAATCTTCCCTTTTCTTGAATCTGGGAATAGCTTTAGGACCCTTTAAGTCCTTGGGTATGATTACACGCCTTAGTGGCTTGTCAAAAACCTTTGCTGAAGGCTTTCTTATTTCCTTTGTTACTTCCTTCAGGATTCCAGGGTACAATTCATCTGAGTCTGGTACTTTGTCAAATGTAACAGTCCTAATTGCCTTATTATCTTCTCCAGTGCAATAGCAAAGCCTTTTAACATTTAACTTTCCCTCCAGGAAAATGTCTCTCAGTCCTGGAGATGCTACCTTCTTCCCCCCCCCTCCACTTCCCTCCTGCCCCCCAGTGAATAATGAGGTGAGGAATTCATTTAGAGTTAGAGCAAAATCAACCTCATCTGTCATTAACTTTCCATTTATGTTCTTCAATGTCTCTACTCTTTCACAGCCTCATGTTGAATTCCGAATATATATTTAGAATCATAGAATCATAGATGTAAGGAATGGAAAAGAACCATTAGGTAATCCAGTTCACTGCGGTACAAATGGAGGATTGTTCTATGCAATGTATTTCCTCCTTCTTTGTTCAATCAGTTTTTAAGGTCCCAAATGTTTCCTTTAGAGTCACTTTAATGATGTTTTCCCCTGATAGTTAGTTGTTTTCCCTTTCTTAACATTAAGAATCTTGTCTAAATTAAATGGTCTTGCATCACTTCATTTGTATTTTTATTTTTTCTCTGTTCATCTTTTGTTTCATATTTTTAAGCTTTTCAGATAGGTACAGATGACCATTCTCTTTTGGGAAGACATTTTGATCCTATTTTCACACTAGCTTTCTGGAGACTTAATTTCTCATACCGATAATGATATAAAAATTGAATCAGAATACCAAATTGGAAGGGACTTCAAGGATCATATGGTCCAGTTTGCCTAGGCAAAACATGACGTAGACTAGATGGTCCAGATCTAGCCCAGCCAAATCTTAAGTGTCCAGTGTAAATGATTTAAAAGATCTTGGACAGAGGGCACAGAACGGGGTGACTGGCTCACACTTCTCAGTAGCTAAGGCACAGGCTGCTTGCATAGAGTCCACCAAGTGTAATAACTGCCATAACTGCCACATAGTTTATGACCTACCTACTAGCTCTTCACTGATTTCATAGCAAACAGCTGCTGAATAATCTGCTGTCTAAATCTTGAACTTATATGCTGCAACTGGTCCAGACAGAAATCTATTGTAGGAACTGGACTGTACCCCCAAATTCATTTGGCCTTTGTCTAGCTCAGCTTCAAGTGTCAGAAGTGAATACAATATTGTAGATTCCCAATTATTAGAGCCATATTGGCAGCTTACTGTAATCCATGAGCTTTTTAGTAGTTACAGATTGTTTATCTTTCTTTGCTATTTCATATAATTTATTACTCTACTGAACCTTATTTCTTTTTACATTTCATAAGTTTTTCAGGCTTTCCTCCATTTGTCTTTTGTTTTTTGAAATTTTCAGGTGTTCAGCATGGTTCAGCAGGGTTTTAATTTTCCTCATCAAGCTGTGAACCTCTTCCTTTTTCTTTCTAGACAGCTTAATATGGTTTGACATTTCCCCACATTTCCAACTGTCTGTAGCTGCTTCTACATGTAGCCACTGTGATTGGAAATGACGGCATGTGATTATTGTTAGCCATAATATTGTGATCGTACTGCTGCTGGGCATTGCTTTGAAAGAATGGGAACTCAAAATAAAACATATTCAGCTCACAAATATTTTATTCCTAAAAACAAGGCCAAATCATGAGCCAAGTAAGCTTCCCATTCAGCTACAGTGAAAAAATACTGAGTGTTTAAAAAACAGGGAGCCAGAATTATAAAGCTTTGGAAGTATTACAGAGTCAACCGAGTATACTTCTAAAGTAGGAAACTATGAAAAGCACATAGTCTGCATTCTATCTTGTATCTTTTCCACTATTCCCATCCCAGCACTTTAATCATTCTCTTCACGATACACAGTATGTAAGGAAATGTGTTATACGCATCCTCACAGTATCTGCATTGCCTCCTGTATGAAAAAATTCTGCCTGCATCATGCATTCTGATTTGCACCATTATTCCTTCCTCATATGGTAGGAGGGAAATCTGAATAATGTATTATTACCCAGCACCCATTTGCTTGTAACTTCCAAAATTACTGATGTATTTCTTATAGTCAGACCTAGTAGAAATGGTTTTTATTCTGAAAAAATTGTGGGAAAGTATTGTCCTGCTATGGCAGAAAGTTTTACAATTTAACTAGATACTTAATGAAGAAAAATTATAATTATTTATTTATGTATTTCTTTTAAACCTGAAGCCTCTGAGCCTTAGTTAACTTTCCTTGGTTTATGCCAAGTAAAAATACTAATACATAGTAAAATGCTGGTTCATTTTTACATTTTCCATGTTATTCAAGTATTTTTACACCTCAGCAAATATGTCTCCACAATCTTGTGGTAATATTTCTGGGTAAAAAGAATTTCTTATTAAATCAGGGGTCTTTCGGGCAGGGATGGGTTTAAGTATAACTGATTTCTATTAGAACAGAGGTATGTATTGAGTAGTCAGACTCCTTAACTGCATGAAACCTGTGCTGAGCTGCTGTAGGCTTTTGTACGATCTCAGTAGTGGTGTCTGAGTGGAGATGGTGCTGTGAAGTCAGGGATTACGGCTACTTTGTACCAATCAAATAACACAAAAAAAAGCTGAGTTAACCTACTTTTGACCAGAATCACAGGCAATTTGCAAAACCTGGGAAAGTCAGGTCAGTCCTAGGATCTGTGAGTTTAATTTACACTGGTGGCATATGTGAGGGAATTGATAAAATTACACAGGTATGGATGCTCGGTGATGAGATCAGAAGGAAAAGGTATTATACATGAAAGCCATCGGCAGTGATTTGAGGACGGATAGAGGGTGCCTGGCACATGAGGAACGCAAGAGTAAAATATGTGGTTTGTCAAGAGGTCAAACAGGTGCAGTTAGCAAAAGGGGTTTCCCAGCTATAGAAAGCATTTTTTTTTTTAACAGAGGCTCCCTGATTATCATGATTTCAGAAGAATCTACCCAAGAAGTAAAGGCACTTCATAAAGAAAAAGTGATGAGACAATCTTAAACTACTCTTTTAGAAATTTAATATTCATTTTATTTGGCGGTTTCTGTTCAGAATGAAGATAAGCACACACAGCTGCAGATCAAAAAAAGACTTGAAGCTAGACATGCTTACTCTGTTCTGTGTCCGATTATATACCAAAGAAGCTGTCAGTGCTGTGAGTAAATACATTCACTTTGCACATTCTAGTTAATCTAGGATTAAACCTGTTTAACATCATCAGCCCCAGGGACTCAATGTACCTGCATGACACCTGGTTTTAACAAAACAGTTTGTCCATTTAAACTGAAGAAGGTGAGGAAACTCTAAGTCCTCATGTTCAGACTCACTGCTTTTTATTATGGATATGCTGTCAATTAGCCTTGCCCTCATCAGCATGAAAATTAACCATGTTGTGCTAAAATGATGGAATTAAAAAAAAACCAAAAATTAGTATTTACGTGCTATTTTAGTGTAAGTCAAGCCAAAGGCAAAAATCATCAACAGAAATCTTGCAGCAGAACTTGGCAAAGATAAGCTACTTCCCCCCTCCCCCCAAAAAAGCACTTCCCTTATAAAAAGAAAGAAACAACCTCCCCCACAAGACAAACGAACAAGCAAACCACAGAAGAAAGTTCATCAGAAGATAGCTATTTAACTCCAGATTCCAGCCAGAGAAGCATTTCAGATTCAATCTGAAAGCATACTTATGCCAAATTCAAATCCTTTCCTCCCCTCTATACTTGATAGTTTCTGTTCTAAATTTCTTTAAAATAGGTATTCTCTCCCCACAGAAAACTTACCACAATGGCAGCCGTTTAGGAAATAAATTAAAAAATAAAAATGTTGCTGTTGTGGAATAAGATATATTTAATTAAATAAAATAGAGAAAGAAAGTGCTATTACAAGAACATAAAACTGTAAGGCACGAGATAAAACTAAATTACTACATGGCTGCTCAATTCAATCTAATCCCTGAAGATAAAGATGGAGCCAGAAAATTGCATGTATTGTGAAATCAACATAAGCCCTAAGCAAATATTAACTAGGGGTATATAAACTCATTTATTATAAATACAAATGTGAATGTGTTAAAGTGTGGCTTTCCTCAGGGGTTGCTCTGGGGACCAGTGATTTTAACATATTTGTTGGTGACACAGGCAGTGGGATTGAGTGCACGCTCAACAAGTTTGCCCACAACACCAAGCTGTGTGGTGTGGTTGATACACTGGAGGGAAGGGGTAAAATCCAGAGGGTCCTTGACAGGCTGGAGAAATGGGCCTGTATAAGCCTCATGAAGTTCAACAAGGCCAAGTTTAGGGTCTTATACCTGGGTCAGGAAATTCCAAGCACAGATACAGGCTGGGAGGAGGATAGATTGAGAGCAGCCCTGAGGACAAGGGCTTGGGGGTGTTGGTTGATAAAAAGCTCAACAGCTCAACAACATGAGCCAGCAATGTGCACTTGCGGCGTGGAAAGCCAACCATATGCTTGGCTGCATCAAAAGAAGTGTGACCAGCAGATCCAGGGAGGTAATTCTGATCCTCTACTCTTGTCAGACCCCACCTGAAAGTGGAGTGAGTGCAAAGGAGGCCACAAAGATGATCAGAGAGCTGAAGCATGTATCCTTTGAAGACAGGCTGAGAGAGCTGAAGTTGTTCAGCCTGGAAAAGAGAAGGCTCTGAGAAGACCTTTGGTTTTTTAATTGTTTGCTGTTTATTACAGTTCTACTTACTAAATTATTAGGAATGCATCATGTAGATTCAACACCGTATAAGAGATGCTTCGCAGTATCAAAAGACTCGGATGATTCTATAAGTTAAAAAGTCTATCTAAAGCAATGCTACTTATTACTTCTGTCTTTCCTGAGAAGTTCACAGAACATAGAATCATAGAATCATAGAATGGTTAGGGTTGGAAAGGACCTTAAGATCATCAAGTTGCAACCCCCCTGCCACTGGCAGGGACACCTCGCTCTAAACCGTATCACCCAAGGCCTCGTCCAACCTGGCCTTGAACACTGCCAGGGATGGAGCATTCACAACTTCCCCAGGCAACCCATTCCAGTGCCTCACCACCCTAACAGGAAAGAATTTCCTCCTTATACCCAATCTAAACTCCCCCTGTTTAAGTTTGAACCCATTACCCCTTGTCCTATCACTACAGTCCCTAATGAAGAGACCATCCCCAGCATCCCTATATGCCCCCTTCAGATACTGGAAGGCTGCTATGAGGTCTCCATGCAGCCTTCTCTTCTCCAGGCTGAACAGTCCCAACTTTCTCAGCCGATCTTCATATGGGAGGTGCTCCATTCCCCTGATCATTCTCGTGGCCCTCCTCTGGACTTCTTCCAACAGTTCCATGTCCTTTTTATGTTGAGGACACCAGAACTGCACACAATACTCCAGGTGAGGTCTCACGAGAGCAGAATAAAGGGGCAGGATCACCTCCTTCATCCTGCTGGTCACACTCCTTTTTATGCAGCCCAGGATACAGTTGGCTTTCTGGGCTGTAAGCGCACACTGCCGGCTCATGTTCATTTTCCCATCGACCAGCACCCCCAAGTCCTTCTCCGCAGGGCTGCTCTGAATCTCTTCTCTGCCCAGCCTGTAGCTGTGTCTGGGATTGCTCCGACCCAGGTGTAGGACCTTGCGCTTGGCATGGTTAAACTTCATGAGGTTGGCATCAGCCCACCTCACAAGCGTGTCAAGGTCCCTCTGGATGGCATTCCTTCCCTCCAGTGTATCAACCGAACCATGCAGCTTGGTGTCATCGGCAAACTTGCTGAGGGGGCACTCAACCCCACTGTCCATGTCAGCGACGAAGATGTTGAACAAGACTGGGGGCACCACTCATTACTGGTCTCCAGCTGGACATTGAGCCATTGACCACAACTCTTTGTGTGCGGCCATCCAGCCAGTTCTTTATCCACCGAGTGGTCCATTCATCAAATTGATGTCTCTCCAATTTAGAGACAAGAATGTCGTGTGGGACAGTGTCGAATGCTTTACACAAATCCAGGTAGATGACATCAACTGCTCTACCGCTGTCCATCAGTTCTGTAGCCCCATCATAAAAGGCCACCAAATTGGTTCAGGCAGGATTTCCCCTTAGTGAAGCCATGCTGGCTGTCACCAAGCACCTTGTTGTTTTTCGTGTGCCTCAGCATGCCTTCCAGGAGAATCTGCTCCAAGATTTTGCCAGGCACAGAGGTGAACATGTATGAACAGCAGAGAGATAAGGATAGTTTGTTTCCATGAATAGAATCATAGACTAGTTAGGGTTGGAAAGGAGCTTAAGATCATATAGTTCCAACCCCCCTGGCAACGAGAGGGACCGCACACCCTAGACCATGTTGCCCAAGGCTCTGTCCAACCTGGCCTTCAACACTGCCAGGAATGGAGCATTTATCACTTCTCTGGGCAACCTGTTCCAGTGCCTCACCACCCTCATAGAATAATTTGGATTGGAAAGGACTTCAAAGGTCATCTAGTCCAACTCCCCTGCAATGAGCAGGGACATCTTCATCTAGATCTGGTTGCCCAGAACCACATCCAAGCTGGTTTTAAATATCTCCAGGGATGGTGGTGCATGCACCACCTATCTGGGCAGCCTGTGCCAGGATTTTGCCACTGTCGTTTTAAAAAATATTTCTTCCTCACATAAAGCCTGAATCTCCTCTCTTTTACTTAAAACCCATTGCCCCTCATTCTATTGCAACAGGACCTGCTAAAATGTCTCTCCCCATTTTATAGGCACCTTTTAAGAACTGAAATGCAGCAATAAGGTCTCCCTCAAGTCTTCTCTTTTCTGGGATGAGCAACCCCAACTTTCTCAGCTTTTCCTCACAGGAGACGTGCTCCATCCATCTAATCATTTCTGTGTCCCTTCTCTGGACCTTCTCCAACACATACTACATTTATTCCCTTCCCTCTAGGTTCTAGTTGAGGGGTATAAAGATCAATGTCGAATGATGCACACACAAGCAGTAAGGTCCCAATTCACTGCAGTTCATCAGGTATTTCCTTGGCATCTAAACTACCACCCAAATCACCACGAGACTCAAAAATAACAACTCCCATGTTTCATGAAACTCACTTTCAAGTGCAAAAGGTGCATAATGGTTGCATACTGCAAATATTTATATGTGCTTACTTTAAGTTTAGTTTTTACCTTTTGGTGAGCTAAAGATGCAAAATCCCTAGCACCTGACCCATCTCAGTCACAAATTGCTGTTGTTGGATTTTGCATTGGACAAATTATATTGATCTGCAAGGCAGATTAAAACCTTTTAGACTGACCTTACTGTATCTGCAATGAGTATTTTATGTAGTTTTCAGTGAATCTTCTTGCCCTTATTTGTTTATTTTTACAACACTCTTTTTGTAGAAGGATAAAAATGATAAATTTGAGCTTTAATGGTGTATCTTGTTATCTTATTTAATATTACAAGTGAATTCCCTGAACTA